CGTGCTGTATGTTCCTGAGCTGAGGAAGAATCTTGTGTATGGCTCTCTGTTGAACAAGCATGGCTTTCGCATGGTGTTCGAGTCCGACAAAGTAGTTTTGTCCAAGTTAGAGATGTTTGTTGGTAAAGGATATGTAACTGATGGGCTGTTTAAGCTCAGTGTAATTCCTGTTATCAATAAAAGCAAAGTTAATTCTGTTTACTTGCTTGAGTCTTCCAATTTATGGCATGGTAGACTAGGTCATGTTAATTTTAATTCTATGCGTAGATTAATTAGCATGGACCATATTCCTAACTTTAATATTGACACAAATAACAAGTGTGAAATTTGTGTTGAGGCAAAACTAACGAAAGTACCTTTCAAATCGGTTGAAAGGGAAACTGAACCACTAGAATTAATCCATAGTGATTTGTGCGATTTTAGATCGATACAAACGAGAGGTGGTAATAAGTATTTTATCACATTTATCGACGATAGCACACGATACTGCTATGTGTATTTGCTTAAGAGCAAAGATGAAGCCGTTGATAAATTCGTTCTTTATAAGAATGAAGTGGAAAACCAACTTAATCGGAGAATTAAGAAGGTTAGAAGCGATAGAGGTGGTGAGTACGAAGCACCTATTGGTGACTTCTGTGCAAGTGTAGGTATAATACACGAACGTACGGCACCTTACTCACCTCAATCGAACGGTGTTGCCGAACGAAAGAATCATACATTGAAAGATATGATGAATGCGATGCTTATAAGTTCGGGCCTACCTCAAGATGCGTGGGGTGAGGCAATTTTGACAAGCAATTACCTTCTGAATAAGGTACCCCGAAAGAAGCTCGATAAGACTCCTTATGAGCTGTGGAACGATAGGAAACCTTCCTACCAGTACCTGAAAGTGTGGGGGTGTCTTGCCAAAGTGTTGGTGCCAACACCTAAGAAAGTAAAGATAGGTCTAAGACGGTGGACTGTATCTTTATTGGCTATGCACATAATAGTAGTGCGTATCGGTTCTTAGTACACGAGTCCCATAATCCGAACGTACACGAGAACACGATAATAGAATCAAGGAATGCATATTTTTTTGAGAATATATTTCCTTGTAGGTCGAATGAGGGACCAAGTACGTCAAAACGAACGTTTGACGAAACTATGGATAATGATAGTGGGGAATCCGAGAGAGAACCCGAGCTCGAGCCGAGACGCAGTAAGCGGGCGAGAGTTGGAAAAACATTCGGTCCTGATTTTCTAACTTACCTGTTAGAGTACGATTCAGGTACTCTAACTTGTTTATTAGAAAATGAACCCGATTTTCTATCTTGTTTGATAGAGAACGAGCCTCGAACGTATGTAGAAGCCGTGACTTCTACGGAAGGACCAATGTGGAAAGAGGCTATAAAAAGTGAAGTGGATTCTATTCTACAGAATCACACTTGGGAACTGGTTGATCTTCCTCCGGGTAGTAAACCCTTAGGATCCAAGTGGGTCTTTAAAAGGAAGATGAAACCGGACGGTTCCATCGAGAAGTATAAGGCTAGGCTTGTAATCAAGGGTTACAGGCAACGCGAGGGCCTCGATTACTTCGACACGTATTCTCCCGTGACGAGAATAAACTCCATTAGGATGATACTTGCCATAGCTGCGTTGCGAAACTTGGAAGTTCATCAAATGGATGTGAAAACCGCTTTCCTAAATGGCGAATTAGATGAGGAAATCTATATGGAACAACCCGAAGGGTTCGTGGTTCCGGGCCAAGAGAGGAAAGTGTGTAAGTTGGTTAAATCGCTCTATGGTTTAAAACAAGCGCCTAAGCAGTGGCACGAGAAGTTTGACCATGCGATGTTAACTAACGGGTTTAGAATAAACGAAAGTGACAAATGTGTCTACGTTAAGGAAACGATAGACGGCTACGTCATTCTTTGTTTATATGTCGATGATATTCTCATCGTTGGTAGTAATGATCGGATGATCAAGTCTACCAAGAACATGTTAAATGCGAGATTTGACATGAAGGATATGGGTTTGACTGATTTAATCCTCGGGATTAGAATCATTAGAAGACCTGATGGTCTCGTGTTAAGCCAATCACATTATATTGACAAAATCCTTGAGAAATTTAACAAGGATGATAGTCAAGTGGCTAGGACACCATTTGATACAAATATTCACCTAACCAAGAACCACGGAGAAGGTATTTCACAAGTGGAATATGCTCGGGTCATTGGTAGTTTGATGTATCTTATGAGCTGTACTAGGCCGGATATTGCCTATGCGGTTAGTAAACTCAGTAGATATACGAGTAACCCCGGTGCTATGCACTGGAAGGCAATAGTAAAGGTTATGAGATACTTGAGGTATACTCGTGATCTTGGACTGCACTACGGGAGATATCCCGCTGTACTTGAAGGGTATAGCGACGCGAATTGGATATCTGATATTAAGGACTCTAAGTCCACGAGTGGCTACGTGTTTACACTAGCCGGTGCAGCCGTTGCATGGAAATCCTCTAAGCAAACTGTGATAGCTAGATCCACGATGGAATCTGAGCTAATAGCCTTGGACAAAGGTTGTGAAGAGGCTGAATGGCTACGCCATTTTATAGAGGATATTCCTAATTGGGAAAGACCGGTACCTCCAATATGTGTGCATTGCGATAGTCAAGCCACAATTGGGAGAGTATAGAGTCATATGTATAATGGTAAGTCTAGGCACGTGCGTCGTAGACATAATACCATTAGACAACTACTCATAACTGGTGTTGTCTCGATTGACTACGTAAAGTCAAAAGACAATATAGCGGATCCGCTGACCAAAGGGTTAGGAAGAGAAGTTGTGGAGAAGTTGACACGAGGAATGGGTTTAATGCCCTTGGACTAAAAAGTTCTATAGTGGATACCCAACCTAGCTGGCACCTAGGTTCAATGGGACAACTAAATTATGGAACGGAGCGCGTCACTGTAGGGGTCTCGGACTCCCTACCACTCCTCGTTAAAACAGTGACTCCCGCAAGAGGCTAGCATGCTAATGCTTTAATGATTCTTGAGTATGCGGGATACTCGAGAAAGAATCACCTATGTTAGAGAGAAGTGAGGGTCGCTTCAAAGGAGAATTGTTGGGCACAATTCTTTAGAAACTCTCGCAGAACCAGGAACGGTGACCCACGACCAAAACGGGCACACTCATGAGAGCAAGAGCATGGTTGGGAGATTCCTGTGTGAGATATGTCATCGTCTACACAAATGGCAGTCGGTTCAAAGACATCGCGTTCTACCGTACAGCCAGTAGAGTAAACATATCTTCACGAGGGAAGGTTCAAAGGGTATAGTGACTCCCTACCTATCCTATGCAGGGATCGATCGTTTGAACACAGTTGTTTCCGATTTCAAAATACCCCGAAAATCAATTTTTCATTCATGTGGGGGATTGTTGGAAAAAATAGCTTAAAATGGCATAAAATGGCATGTTAAGTGGCTATTTTGTGGTACAATTATCAGTGGGGTCCACTTCCGGTTTGGGTCAGGTTAAAGTGGATTCGGATTCTTCGTAGTGAGACGAAGAGATCGATATATTGTACGCTCAAAACGGATAATGGGTGAATGAGATATTGATTCTCAAAGTAGACCCATTTGAGTTGGAAAATGAAAGGAAAAAGTGAGCTTTTGTCCCACATTGCTTTGGAATGAAGATTTTCCCCCCTTATATACAAGAGCTCTTTTGAAGCTTGTAGAATTGTATAGCATAGAGGCTCTCTCACGCGAGGGGGGGGGGGGTGGGGGGGTGCAAATCAAATTCCAACTATCAAGCCCGAGCTCGTGTGCGCCGGCACTTGGGGGTACGAATGTCGTCCGAAAATTGGCTGGCCTTGCGGGCTAAGTTATGCCAAACTTCGGTATCATTTTCCAACTGGTATAGCCACTTGGTTCGGCCAGAACCGAACCGAGAGCACCTACTCTCGTGCTACAAGAGAGCACGAGAGGTTGTGGTGCACCGAGAGCACAACTCTCGTGCAACAGCCATAATAAAGGCTATTGGCTCCTTCAACCCTATATAAGAGAGGGTAGATGCAGTAGAGATTTTACACACAGCAATAGAACACGAAAGTTCGTTTTTCCAGCTTCAAAACCTCTCTGCTTCTACTCTTTCTTGGCCTACTGTGTTCATAGTCATTGTCTTGCTCGCCGGATTCCTTGTTTGAGTGCTCAAACATTGAATCATTAGCAAGTTTTATCCTGGGAAGCCTAGGCCACAACGATCCTAGCATCTTTGGGAGGTGGCAAATAAGATTTTAAGGAAAGAGTGCTTACTTGACTCTTGCAAAAACCCAACACCAAACACTAGCCAAATTTCTTCATTTTTTCTTCCCTTATTTCCAGAAAAATAATAATCTTATTTTGATTATTATTTGTGTTTTCTACCAACGGTACCAACACTAATTTCATTCTCCTTCGTTGGAGAAGCCAGCGACCAAAATGGTGTAGCCGGCTTCTCCAGCGAAGGGGAAGGCCACCTCCTTCGCTGGAGAAATCGGTGACCGGTGTCTCCGACGACTAAATAAAAAAAAAAAAAAAAGCAAACGCAAGTTAGAGATGCATTTGTATTTGACCAATTCTGACATCAAATGCATTTCCCAAACATTTTTTTTCATATTTTTGTCCACAAAAAAGGGGGAGACATTTGAGAAATGAATGCATCTTCTTTCACATTTCAGTCTTTTTCCCTGCAGAAGACGGGAGACTTTAAGAATAAGGAGTCTAAATACAAAGAGAAGAAGAGAGAATAGTGATAAAGCTTGATTATTTGCATTCATGTTTTAATTTAGCAATAACAATTAGTTTGTACTCCAGATAATCACCAAAATTGTCGCAATAACATAATGTCATTAAACCAATTTATAGTATTTTCCTATGAATGTTCAGCAAGGATCCGTGGCGCAATGGTAGCGCGTCTGACTCCAGATCAGAAGGTTGCGTGTTCGATTCACGTCGGGTTCAATCCCCTTGATCCATACTTTTTGAGATTGTTTGGCTGCGGTTCAGCTCAAAATCGAATTCTATTATACTTTGCACAGCAAAATTGGAAGTTCATCTTCTGCAAATGCACTTCACTCTCCGCATCCATTGATACCCAAATTCTGCTATACATTACCACCCAGCAAACAACAATGGCTCATCTCTTGGGAAGATTCTCCGCTCCTTTCATCGTCAGGCCAACCGCCGTCTCCGCTTCTGCTTCTGCCTCCTCCAACAACCAATCTTCCCTCTCCTACGGCCTCGATGCCAGCTTCATCAAGCGGGCGGCGGAGCTCGCCGATAAATCCGCCGGATTCACCGCCCCTCACCCCAATTTCGGTTGCGTGATTGCCGCCGCCGACGATGGCGGACGAGGAGGCGCCGCGACGGTGGGGGAGGGGTATTTGTATGCGGAGGGGACCACGGCTGCTGAGGTGCAGGCGGTGGAGGCTGCTGGGGAGCTCTGTAGAGGCGCCGTTGCTTATCTGAATATGGAACCCGGCGACTCGGGTAGTGACACCACTGCCGTCTCTGCTCTTATCCAGGTGGCTTTAAATGCTCATTTCACCCTTTTCCATCTTTCATTTCTGCTACATTTGAACACCACTGGTTAAAAGTGAAGAATACACGACAAGTATAAGGGAAAGTTTTCATTTCTATAATTCTATCGGAAGCTTAGAAGTTTATAGTGGTATTCATTTAGTCAATGTGGTTAACTGAAGAGAAATTCAACTAAATAGGTAAAAGGTGCACCTGTTTAGCATCGAAATGTGATTGAAAATGTTTATAGTATGCACATGATTTGGTTCTGAAGGTCTGAACTAAGTGTAACTAATGAATGCTGATTAGGCAGGAATTTCAAGAGTTGTCATTGGGATTCGCCATCCTCTGCAACATCTTCGGGGAAGTGCAATCCGTGCACTAAGAAGTGAAGGTCTACAGGTTGATGTGTTAGGAGAGGATCTAGATAGCAAAATTTTTGAGGTAACTTGTTTACTTGTTTGTCTCTTCCTTAGAAGGAGGTTGAGCTTGTATATATTTAGTGATTGGAAATTGTCTTAATTGATTGGTTGAGAAATGAATTTTTAAATGATTGAATTCTGCTAGAATCAGTATGCAGTCTTCTGCACCAAAAAGAATCACTTGGACTGGTCACTAATTAGTGTCTATGAGAATCTTCCCTGATGTGGTGATATTTTAATTGAAAATTTGATCTCTGTCCTATTAACTAATCACAATATTTGCCTATCATCTCATAGTGTTTCAGTCAACTTGTAGGTGTGATGCTTGAATCTACTATGATGGTCATTGGATCATAACTATTTAATTGCACATCAAAGTCCCACTTCATACAGGCAGATGCATTTCTTATAATTATATTTTCCCTATCTCTTGAATATACTGTTTCTTTACATAACAAAATAAATTAATTGCAATTGATCATCTAAGTTCTTTACTATTTTAACTTCATGGTTTTAAAAATCTGATCTTGTATATTTGTTGATTGTATATCGGTAACTATCTTTCTTTGCTTAGCAATTGAAATTTCACAGTGGTCCTAAGTCATCCACAGGGGATGTGAACTTTTTTTTTTTTTTTTTAAGTTTTTGTGTTCTTATAGTTTGCTGTGTTTCCAGGAAGCTCTTAAATCCTGCCTTATCGTCAATGCACCTTTGCTTTATAGAGCTGCTTGCCAAGTTCCATTTTCTGTTCTTAAATATGCAATGACCCTTGATGGTGAAGACACTGCCTTTACTATTTATTCTAGTGACTTTATATCTTTTGAAGTTTTAAGTTTATTTACTTTAGTGTTTCATGGTTAGAGGATGAACTCTAACAAATTGGAAAAGTGGCTCATTTTCATATCTCTTTTGATCAGGGAAAATTGCTGCTAGTAGTGGACATGCATCTTGGATCAGCAGCAAAAAGTCAAGAAGTCGAGTTTTTGAATTGCGGGGACGAAGTGATGCTGTCATTGTTGGAGGAAATACTGTGCGTAAAGATAGTATGCATCCTTTTAGCCATTCTCTTGTACTTTGACAGGAATTGTAGAATATGTTATTGCCTCTTTAGATCATCTTTAGTGGGGAATAGGGATGATAAAGATATTCTAATGCTGGTGCATCTAACAAAACTTTGGTGTTTAGATCCACGCTTGACTGCTAGACATGGAGGTGGCCATATACCCCGCCGAATTGTGATGTCACAATCTCTAAATCTTCCTGATGAAGCTAATATTTGGGATGTTGCTGAAGTCCCTTCTATAGTTGCAACACAAAGAGGTGCTAGAAGAAGCTTTCAAAAATTTCTCGCTTCCAAAGGGGTTGAAGTAGTAGAGTTTGACATCTTAGACCCAAGAGATGTTATGGGGTACCTTTATGATCGTGGTTACCTCTCTGTATTGTGGGAGTGTGGAGGGGCACTGGCTGCTTCTGCAATTTCATCTGGAGTCATACACAGGGTATGAGTTGACACTTTCATTTTCTAAAATTTATTTTTAATGCTAGTATCAATATCATACTATCATTTAATCCTTGACTTTCTTGTCATCTAATTTTTATTTTTTAAATTTTTTTTAAAGAATAGAAAATGGAAGATGATATGGGATCTGTCCTCACAATTTGTCAAAGTTACCTGCAACAATGATTTGTTTATCTTTTTTATTACTTGTATATTTATGAGCTTTTATTGTGAATGGAAGAGATATCTTTCTTCAGGTTACGTTGGTAGTCTCTTCAAGTACATTCTTCTATTTGTACACTCTGTATATTGAAACTTAAAAGTGTCCTCTCTTCATTTTTATGAAGCCTGCATGCATTTTTGGTATATAGTGTGTCCTTCTTGTCATAGATTTCAAACCTTGATGCAGGTGCATGCATTTGTTGCGCCAAAAATTATAGGTGGAAAAAATGCACCAACTCCAGTGAGTGATCTTGGAATGGTAGAGATGACACAAGCTTTGGAATTGATTGATGTTTGCTATGAGCAGGTCAACTTGTTGCTATGCCTATATTTTAATCAATTACATATGATCTTCCTGTGTCGTTTACCTCTACTGTCACTTTCGTCTATGTTGCATGTGTTGGACATGCATTGGATTTGTAGAACAGTGGGGGTACAGATTCATTTATTTAATGTATATATAACTATTGAGAACTTTTTAATGGTACAATGAGTTGTGCTAATATATGACTAGTCCAAAGTTAGAATTACTACTAATATACCATTAAGAAGTTGCATTATTGGGGTGGGTGGGGAGACAAGTAAAATGAATGAGGAGTTAGGCCTATGTGTAATAGTTTTCCTGAACCTATCATACCGTTGCTGATGCACCTTTGAATTAATTAACAATGAACACAAGAGGCATTACAGGCAACACCTATTTTATTGAAGGAAATATGTGTTAGGATGTGCGAAAAGCACGGAGTTTTGGTTATTGCAAAATGTAATCATGAAGAATAGATGCCCAAATGGAGATAATATGATTGCTCGAACTCTTGCATATGTAACCTATGTGTGAACTTAGGTACTTTCTGGTAAAAGATAAACATTTGGCTAGCTATGATTTTACGCAAGCATGTCTATGTTCAACATCTCCGTTACTTTTTGCTTTGGTAAAGAGTTTAATAAGGGAGAGAAGTTACATATCTCAATCAATTGTTTATTGGGAAAAATGCTAGCAATGCTTAAATATTCATTTGACCACTAGGATACTCATTTTTCCCAACTTTTAATAATTCAAATAAAAACTGCATCAATGTATACCATATCCATGTGACCATGTGATGCAAGTCTGTCTGTCTCAATTTCAATTTTAAGCTTTAAAGTAACATAGTTTAGGAGTGGAAGCATCCTTTAGAGGAGGTAGATAATGTTCTTGTTTGCCTTCAATATAAAATTCTTCAAAATATTATCTAGATGCTCACTACTAAAGATGTGGTTTGCAGATTGGACCTGACATGCTTGTTAGTGGATTTCTTCATCCAGTTCCAGACCTCACGCCTGTTATTCCGTCTGTAGAAGAAACTTCTGAAATTGATCCTACCATTTCTCCTTATGAATCAAGCATCATATTCTTTTATAAAACATGGGAGCAGTATGGTTCCTTTTCAAACTTCTCTCACCACCCAATTCAAATGCCTGATGAAACCGGAGATACTGTCACCTGGTCCAGTGTAGAGCATTATTACCAGGTACCTTGAATATAAGCTTAGAGTTTCTTGAATTTACTGTCTTTTAGACTCTTTTCTTATTGCTTTTTGTTCAATTTGAAGGCACAGAAATTTACCGGAGTGCCTGATCCTGTGGCTCAAAACTGTATTGAAGACATAAAAAATGTAAAGAGCCCCGAGGAAGCAGCACGTATGGGAAGGAGAATACAGAGGCAACGACCTGATCTGGTATGGCTTCAATTCGTGCTATATGTAATGCATATTTAAGAGTTGGGATGTAGAATAAAGTCCTAGCTGCAAATTTAAGATCCATTATACCAGTGTCTAGCTTTTCTGGATTTGGAAGCCCAGCACAACGGCAAGGTGGGATGTATTATAGTCGTAACATTATTTTCTTGTGACATTCACCTAGTTGTCTTGAAAAACAGGAGGTTCAATTCTTTAAAAGACTACATTACCCTTAGCTTTAGATTTAATACTAAGTTTCACATTTGGCCTAAAACGATACTAGTATGTACATGCAGGTAAGGTCAGATTGGGAATCCATCAAGGTTGATGTCATGTATAAGGCCTTGAAATGCAAGTTCACAACATATCCTCATCTAGAGTCTTTGTTGGTTGCAACAGCAGGATCGGTTCTCGTAGAAGGCTCACCCCATGATCTCTTTTGGGGAGGGGGCCGGGATGGAGAAGGTCTAAATTATCTCGGAAGACTGCTGATGCGGCTGAGATCTGAGTTTCTAGACAAGAAGAGTTCAGCATCAAATAAAAACTCAATTGACCAACAAGCAATCGGAAATAAACCCAAGTAAGTGCGGTGTAAACAAAATAGTAGATCAAAGCTCCCTTTGGAAGAGTGGTGAGATTGGAGCTCCCTGATAGTAGACCGCTCCAACCGCTCTCCCAAGTATGCTTAAATTAGTTGAATAAATAAGATCATCCACGTTTTTTTTTTTTTTGAGGTTTTCAGATCTAAAAACTGGGTTTTTACACTAATGGGAGGCATGTTTTTTCTCAAATTTTACTCCTGCAAATGTTTTGTGGGTCAAGAGAGAGATGGCAGGCTACTGCCTTTGTGCGCGTTGGGCACATTCAGCTCCCAACCGAGCACCCTGTGTTTTTTTTTTTCCTTCTCTTCTCTCTCTCCTAGTTGGTACCTCAAAAACCACAAAAAATAAAAGTCATTGCTATTGCTCTAACGTCGTCGATCATTGTTGATTAAAATGTTTTTTTTTTTATGAAAGAGTTGTTGATTAAAATGTTGATTGATATAGACTTCATATTACATGACCAAAACTTGAAAGTGCAAATAGGCTTAAAACACTCTTTGTTTGTTTTGGCATACCATTTCTCTCCTTCACCAAATCTTTCACAGGCAGTTTCGAGTTACAAATGAATCAGATACAGAAGATGAATCCTATCAGTGTTTGCTAATATCAATCATAACCTGAGAAAATGCAAAAAAAACAAAAACATATTCTAAAATGAAAACAATTCTCTTCAGCTCCAGTTACAATCACCTACTTTTCTTGGTCTTGGTTGATCTAGGAGGAGGAAGTGTTCCAAAAACGATGTCCCAGAAAGTGTTGGTGATTCCAAACCCTTTATCCTGGTTCCTGAAGTGATGATCCATGTGGAATCTCTACAATGCACAAACAACTCTCAATCAACACACCAAAAGTTTACCATTTTTGTTCAAACACAAGAGCTCATTCATACCTTTAGAGATTGGGACACCCCGGTTAACGGCTTTCCATGGTGCAAATAGTAGTGGGTGCAATCATAAATGATATATCCCAACAACGCTCCTCCAAGTATGGCATAAACATAAATTGAAGGAGCTAGAAGTTTAACCAGACCCCATAACTAAAAACCAAAAAAAAAAAAGAAGAGGTTATTATAAACATATGTATGGTTTGTCTAGTTGAAATAGGAATAGCAACTATACATACAGGCATGAGCATAATCGCAGTGGCAGCAGGGGGGAAAACCAGCCTCATCCCATCCATAGGGTGCTTGTGATGGCAACCGTGCATCATATAGTGAAACGTGTTCGCCCTGCAATTCATATAAACCCGCAATCACTATCTGAGATTGCCTTGTAACCTTCTAGCAAAGGACCACAAGGAGATAAACCAGTCAAGGCAGCCAAGGACCACAAGGAGGTAAACCAGTCAAGGCAGCCCATAGCGCCTAACTAACTCAAACCAAGAAAGTCAATAGACTACTCAGGCTAAGAGCTGAACTCGTAACCTTGTCATTACTAAGTCGACATTACAATGTAAGATGTCACTCTAGAACGAATGGCTTACCAATATCCTCGTGTTTTAACGTGGAAAAGAAAGCGGTGTAGAGTGTATTCCAGCAATGTCCAGGCAGCTAAGCTGGCAAGAAGAGATATAGCCAGCTGAGGAGTGGGTAGTCCCATGTTTACAGAGGTTGAAGCAAACCACCACACAACTGGTAGCCATATGGTTGGAATTGCCCACCATGGGGTGCGAGTCAAGAACTGCATCATATCACCACACAATTAGTATAAATACTCATCATCTATAATATTGGAAAATTCAAAAGTGTCTTTGTGATTCTTGAAAAATATATGAAAATGCTATTATTAATTACCTCCAAAAACCCATTTGCAAAGAATCTTGGGCTTTCTTTGCTAACAATCGGTTTATGAACCCACTCATCATAAGCATCACCAAGATGGCCAACCTAAAAAATTAGTAGCTTTTGTAGTTGAGTCAAAGCAATATAAAATGTTATATTGAAAAAATGGAATGGTTAGAGGTGTGACCTGGAAAACAAGTGGCTTGCTCAAATCCACTGTGAATCCCTGTGCCGCCATCTTGGCACCTTGTTTCACACCATTAAAAAAAAAAGTAAAAAAAAAAAAAAGAGATGAATATACAAAAATTCAACTTTTCTCGTAAAAATATTAAGTAAATCTCACAAAACAGGTTAACGGCAAATCCAGTGTTGCAAAAATTGCGCCTAGGCGCCGATTGCGGTGGGAGGCCGCCGCCGTGGCCGGCGGCCGGTTGCCGGTTCGACGATTTTATTATTTTTTCTTTTATTTTTTTTGTTGAAAATGTGGTAAAAGTTTCGGAAGGTATAACTTTTGACTCAATTGTTTGATTTGGACAAATTTTTTTTTCAAATTGTGTATTTTTTTTGAGATCTATACACCACAAAAGGTTTGGTCCACTAATTTCTCACAAAAATGCTTCTATAGCTCTTAATTTTAGTTTTTTTTTTTTTTTTTACTATTTAGATGGTTTAAACAATTTTTGAACAATTTTACAACCACTTTCGTAAATAGTTTTTAAGGAATAACTATGGAAACCTTATGTTTTATTACTAAATTTTGAAAATTTTTAATTTTTAATTTTTAATTTTATTTTTAATTAAAATAATAATAAAAAATCGGCGTTAAGCGCCCCCTTGGCGCCTAACGTTTTTTGCAACATTAGGCAAATCACACAAAGGCAAATCACACAAAGACTCAGCCATCTGCTCTTAAAAATACACTCTTAATCTCATATAAAGTTAGTCATATCTTAAAATTGTGATTGAATGATCGGTGATTCTTGACGAAAAATTAATGCATTCTCCACTTTATAGAAACAAGCTAATAAGATTCAAATATAACTCAAGAACCTAATTAACATAATGTAATATGAAGTATGAAAAGATCATGAAAATAGGATATGAGATACATACAAGAGTTGGGAGTGTGAAAAGTTGATGAGGATTGAAACATTATGAACTAACCTGTGACAATGCTGGATGGAGATATCTTCAATAATTTTTTATTTTTTTTTTTATTTTTGGGAAATAAAGTTCCTTTTTATTTAATTCATGAGTAATGGAGGAGGGATGAAAGCCTAATGTTTGAAGCTTTGGACTCCCATATAAATGTTGGGGGATGGAGGTGAAGCTAGATGGTTTTGAGATTGTGATGGAAAATCACTTGGAAAACTAAGCCAAACTTGAACGAATTCTCAGGGGAGCCAAACAATAAGTTGTTAGCCATATATTTTAACATTTTCAAACAAAAAAATTATAATTAAATTTTAAAAATACATTTTTTAATTTTTTTTTTAAAATGGATAGATGTTTATAGACTTAGGTGAAAATGAAAATGGATTGTCTTGTTGTTTCTAAATAGGTCACAATACATTAAATAAAAAATAGTTATTCTTTTGTCTAATGTATGTAAGACAAATTATGTCACAGGAAACATAAATACGTTACAATCAGGTAGCACTTTTCTGGAGTACTGCTTCCTGTGTTGTAGTGGTGTAATTATTCTTTTGTCTAATGAATGTAAGATAAAGTATGTCACGTGAAAACATAAATACGTCACAATCAGATAGTGCTTCCTCTGTTAGAGTGGCGTCATGTGTTGTAGTAGTGCTTCTTATGTTTTAATACCGCTTCCTATGTTGTATGTTTTAATTAGTAGCGCTTCCTATCATTGTAGTAGTCCTGGATTGTCGGTAGAGTTCGCGTGAGTATCTCTTGTTTTGTCTCTCATTTCTGCTCAAACTCTCTTTAGATGGTCTATAAGAAAAGACCGTGTGCTACAAATTCGACCAAGAGGACTTTGATAATAATCGAATTCATCTCCGTGTTATTTATTTGTTAGTATGATAGGAATGATGTAATAATAGAACATGAGATGTATTAATTAGAATTATGAAAAAGGTTAAACATGCCCTTTTAATTGTAATGAAATTGTCTTCGGAGTTAACGTACATTTTTTTTTTTTTTTTTTTTTTTTGCGATTTGCAAAAAAAGTTGACACAGATAATTTACTAATAGATCCATTTTTTTCGTATACTCTTCATCCGTGTTTGTTTATTTTTTATTTTTAAATAAGAAATGAATTGTTTTTACTTTAGTTATCGAAAGTTATCTCTAAACGACCACATAAATTCTTATAAATACACATATGACATGAAATTTCTACGATTATATTTTATATTATTAAGAAAGTATATAAAGAGTTACATGTCAAGCACCTTATGCTCAGATAATATGTATTGACTCTCTTGGAAAGTCATGAGATAAAAGTTTTTCTTGCAAATATTAGTTTTTGATGAGTACCATGAATAAAAAATTCTAAACACCGCGTTAACGCCCAGCACATGTGTTAAATCACCTTTTTATTTATTCTTTTTTTATATTTTTTGTAAGACATGTTTTACGCCTTTTTTTTTCTTTTCTTTTTCTCGCCTTTCTCTCCCTCGTCTTTCTTACTTGGGCTAAAAACAACAAAACAAAAAAAAAAAACAAAAAAAAACAAAAAAAAAAAACAAAACAAAAAACAAAACAAAAAATGTCAACAAATGACTAATAAATGAGGTTGGCCTTTCCAAATTATTTTATTCTATAATAATATCTTTTTTCTCCTAAAGATGACAAAGTGTAGTATAGTAGTATACTTTTTTTAAATATGGAAATTTGCCCACAAACACCGGCGACCACTACGTGCCAATGATTAACGTTTAGAGAGATACAACGGAAAACAGTAACAGTCATAGACGCCGGTGGATATTCCGACGAAGACCAGGTTCACACGATTCACTTCCGGTTTGATTCCGACTCAGACTAGGAATGCTCTGTTCATTCCTGAAGAAATTATCGGGATCGACCCTGCTTTTCACTTTCACCAACCTCTCATAATTCCCCATGAAATACTTGTGCCCATAAACCTTCCCTTCCTCGTAGCTATGGAGCCCGTGGTCGGTAGTTCCGATGTCCAGGTCTCTGTAATTCAGGTACGCCTGCCTCGGATTCCTCGAAACGAACGGCGCCAAGAAGCTATGGAGCTCTCTAATCTGCGATATGTGCTCCCGGTCCGCCGCCTCCCCTTCTTCTTTCCAGCTCACGGCGTACTGGATCTTGAACAGAACTCCGGCGCGGTGCGGGAACGGCGTTTGGGTCGACGGGA